CAACTAAATAAAACATAACTACTACAGACTCTAAACTATATAAGATCAATACATAATATATAAGTTGAATATTAATTCATCAATCATTTTCAGCCTTACAAGTAGCTCGATTATGACCCTTTTGACCACATCTTTGACATCGCTTTCTATTATTCTGAACTAGCTCATGTGATTGTGAATTTTCATTAAATAATTGAACATTTGTTTTAATATTAGACATATATCAACATTTTTTTGTATGCAGTTCTTGAATCTCAATGGTGCTTTTTGCTCTACTAGGAGGTCTACCTTTTCTGGCAGAAACAACAGGATTGGCGATCGGAAGGTTTGTAATTTGATTGTTTTTATCTAATTGTTTATTTGTAAGAAATTGCTGACATAATCTGATCAATTCATCATATGAATTGGTGTTGATGGCAACATCAATAGCTTTTTTCATTAATCCATATGCATATCCATATTTGGACCGAGTATTATTAATATTTTAAAGAGTTGGAGTATATAATTCACCTCCCTGAAGTTGTATAAGATGTTCAAGATTGAAAGAATGGTTAGTAATAGCATAATTATTAGATGATAATTCTACATATAGTGAAATAGGATCATGCTGTATTAAAATATTTTGATCATTATAGATCTTATTATCACTATACCACCACCTTGATATAAGGCCAATATGCCACTGAGCATTTGGAGAAGTTCGAAGAACTTTGTAAAAGTGATGACATGGATAACCATGTGTAATTAACATATTACATGTATACCTGTGTGAACCATCTGATATTAAGATGACAAATTGAGATTTGGTGCTACATAAAAAAGTAAGATGCCAAATTTCAAGAATATTAGCACTTTCAACTGTCTTCAAGATATTTGTTAATAAATTTTGTGACAATTCATAATTGTTTTCATGTGCTATGTCATCTATATTATCATCTGTGTGGATCTAAAAAAAAAATTAGTATGTTATAGTTGTGAGAATAAAATGATTAAATAAAAAGACAGTTGGTATGATGCGAGAATAAAATGATCAAAATAGTTTACTTGTTCAATTGAGTTCCAATCACTGAGATCAAGCTTATAAGCATCATAAAAAAAGCATTCATGCATTTGTTTATGAACGTTTATTGCTACTGGTTCCATAAGATATTCATTTACAATAATGTCTAATTTTTTAAAAAATGTTTTAGATATAGTCGCAACCCCAACAGTTGGTATTTGAGATTTATACTCTTCTATACAACTATATTCAGCTTCTCTATCAAGCAAATCTTGAATTTCTTTAATAAATGTTACCAAAGAGGAATTCACCTTCACACTATCATGAATTTTTTTATTGAAACTTTCTACTCGCTGAGTGCTATTTGTGCCTGCTGTAAATTGATTATTAATATAACAAACTGTCTATTTCATTTTTAAAGGTTCAAGTTGACGTTTGATATAACTAGCAATATCTGAATATTTTAGCTTAAGAGATTCGAGTCTGCTTTCAAAAATGTTAACAACCTAGAGAAATAAAATAAATAAATAAATAATAATAATAATAAAAAACAAACAAAATAAGAAAGTTAAAGAAAAAGTTGCACAAGATTAAAAAAAAAAAAGAATTTACCATTGTGTTGCAGCATATATAAAAATTCTTGCGAAATTTATTGAATTGCACTGAATCTATCTTATTTTTAAGGTTTTTCTTTAAATTAAGATCGATATGAAACAGGCATAAGCAATATAAAGAATTTGGAAACTCAGTGAGAATCGCATTTGCCATTGCTGGATCTGAATCTGTATAAACTACTCAAGGCATTAAATTGCCAATACATTTGTTAATCATATGAAGAACCCAAATAAAACTATTTTCAGTTTCATCTTTTAATAAAGTGGCAACAACTAGACAGGTATGATTACAATTATCAATAACTACAAAGAAGCATGCAACCATGTTATATTTGTTAGTGCATAATGTAGTGTTAAAAAAAATTATATCATGAAACCTTGTCCAAATATGTTGCTATTCATGAGAAAGCCAAACAATACTACATAATCTTCATTCTGAACTATCAAATTTAGCTTCCACAAACCACCTAGGATCACTAACTTTAAGACTATACATATGTTGCAAAAGATTTGATGCATCAAATTCATCTTTGAAGGAAAGGTTCATTTTTGCACTTTGTATTGCATTGTATAAACTTATTTGATAAATTTTTCGATCTGGAAATCTATCCCTTAAAAGCTGTCCTATATTCCGTGCTCCAGTTGTATCATAGGCTACACAAAATTTAATAAATTCTATTATATTCTCATCTAATTTATGGTGACTTGTGATTGTGGTTGATGGTGCTGGTGACATAGAATGATTATAAGAATTTACAATAGTAGTAAATGTAATAACTGACGATGATTTAGGCATGTTTCCATTTATCCACCATTCACATCCAGTGCAGTTTGACTTATGGTTTTGCTGTTCTTTTAAATTTAAAACTTTTTTTGACTGGTATTTACCAGCACAACTACACTCCCAACTAATTTTGCATGTAACTTGTATATTATTTTTAACACCTGATTCAATACGCCTTTTCCGAAAGCTAAAACCCTGTTCTAATGCATATTTTTTTAAAAAAAGTTTTGGCATCATCCCAGGTTTGAAAAGTTTGGTTCTCATAAATTCTCAATGTCTCTTCGCTTTCTTCTTCAGAAAACTCAATATCAAATAATTCAACTGCTTCAGGTTCATAAGGTAAGTTTACAGAAGATGGCTCTTTTTCAAACTGTTCGCTTTTATGGTTTTGCATATCATTTTTTTAAAAAACTAACATTATTTTCTTTAATATTATCGCTAGTTTGTGATGGATTCATGGTATGCAATGAACATCACGTGAAAAACGATGCAACTATAGTTCTAGTAACACGTAATAAGTATATTTTGAGTATGTATTTATAAGTTAATCATCTGCTATATTAGTTCTTATGCTAAAGAAATTCAATTATTATATTTGTGTTTGTGCGAAAAGATATAGTCACGATACTTGCACTTAAGTAAAAGAGGCGCAGCTATTTGTGATCAAAGATCCTTTTTATTTACACATCGTGTTACATAAATCTGTCAAAATATTTATGATTAGAGTTTGATCTTGCATATCAGGTACATATGTATGTACGTACATAGTACCCTGTACCAACATTAGGGGCATGTGTAACTAGGGGATTTCTCTCTTGGTTAATCGTAGTTATTTTCATATATTATTATTATAAATATTTTAAATAAAATATTTTTTATAAATATTTTATACAAAATATTTTAATAATTTTTATTTAAATATTAGTATATAAAATATAAAACAAGTTGAGTTAGATTATACTTATTTAAACCAAAAATATAATTTAAAAATTATTTATAAACTAAAGTTTATTTTGTAAAAAAAGTTCATAAAATAAATCAAATTAGACTTAATTTAAAAAAATTTTTTTTTAATATTAAGATGAGTAATTGTAACTCAGAAGTTTATTAATAATATGTTAGCATATAACTATTGTATACAACAGCTATAGAGGCAATCATAGAAAAAGTGTACAACTAGCCATTTATACAACTTTAATTCTTGTCTATTTTAAATAGTTTGTTTGAAGATTCTATACTAGTTGCCATACCTAGAACCTGCCTATGAGTTTTTTATTTAAACATTATAGTTTCTGTATTCATTTCTACTTTATTAACTATAATATTAATTTGCAAATATAACATAGTTACTAAGTTATATTTAACTTTATACTAAACCTACCAGAGTCTTTTGTATTTCATACTTATAGCTGACTTAGTACTGCTCTGACCTAGACCATTACTTGTAGTCAGAATTAACCATTAAACTGCTATACTTTTGTAAGGTTCATACAAACTCCAGTACTCATCTTTTTGATATCTTCTTCATTATCTTCTATTAACTGCATCTAAGAACTAACAGAACTCCTTAAACTTCTAATTCAGATAGCCTGATATAATATACTTTAGTATTTTTTTCTTCTAATAATTTTAGTAATCTGATTGATTATATGCTTCTTTACATATCTTATTATTTGGTTTATCTGCCTATTCTTACTGAAGGTGTTTTATAAACTTCTATTGGTCTAATAGTATCATCAAAAGTTTGTGCTATTTTCTTACTTAGGATTTCCAAGTAGGCTTCCAACTTCACAGTTTCTTTGCTTTCTGCATTTAGTAGTCTTATTGTAGGTTTACACTAAATTTGTATACAACACTAGTTAAATATTTCTTTATATATATATAATATTACACTTCATATAGATGCCCTAAGCTCCTATTTAAGATAGCACAACTGAAGGTTACAGATATTCCTAATCTAACCAATCAACAGAGTCAGTTACTATAATATAGATATAATTTCTAAAATTCATCATTTATGAGATTTGAACTCTAGACCTGCACTTGGAGGTTAACAATCTGACTACCTTACCAGATTGTTATACTCTTCTTTATTTAAAATTATTATTATTTTTTTTTAAGTTAAAGTTACTTATCTTAAAGTTGTAACTATTTTATTCAAGTTATAGAACACAAATGCCACCAGAAGCTCCTTTACATAAGAGGTTACAACTAGCCACATATGCACTTTTGGTATCTAATTTATATAGTCTGCTTATGTTATATAAGATGCTATACCTGCAAGCCAACTAAAGATCTTGCTTATTTAAACTCTCTGCATATGTAATCTATTTTGTATCATAAGAACATCTCAAAGCTACATCTATTCAAGTTTTTAATGCTTATTAGTACCTTAGAACTATTTTATTCTTAACAAAAGACTTACTAGAACCTTTATATTTCATATATACTAACCTAGTTTTATATAATATACTATAGTTATCTAACACTTGCAGTTACTGAGATTACCTATTAAATTACTATGTTATATTATTTCTATTCTTATAAAGTTCACTAAACTCTGGTATCTATTTTTCTCACTTTTTCTTTTTATTTCTCTACTATTTAACTTAGAATCAGACAGACTTTCCAGACTTCTAATCCAGATAGTCCAGTATAATATATCTTTTGATATTTTTATTATTATTAATTCTAACAGCCTAGTTGGTTATATGCTTCTTTACATATTTTTTATTTAATTACATCTGCCTTATTTCTTATTAGGGTTTTCTAGGCTTTTATTAGTCTAATAGCATTGTCAAAGGCTTGTACTACTTTTTTACTCAGGAATTTTCAAGTAGAATTTTGTCTTTTTAGTTTCTTAATCTTCTATATCTGGTGGTCTTATTATGAGTTTGTACTGAAATCTTATACAATATTAGTTATTAACATTCCTCTATATACATATAATATGTATATTATACTTCATATAGATGTCTTGAGCTCCCAATAATAAGTAAAACCTGATTGGTTATACTTAAAATTACAAATATCTAATTCTAACTGATTTACAGAAGATAGTTTTCTGTAATATAAATTAATTTTCAAATTTCATCATAAGTGGGATTTGAACCTTAGACCTGCTACTTAGAAGATGACAATTCAACTACTATACTAGGATCATCATCCTTCTTTATTTAAAATTATATTTAATAATTTAATTTATATTTAATATAAAATTTTACAAATAAATTAAATTAATTTCTATAATCTAATTAGACAATTTTTAGAATATTATATAAGTTTTATAAATATTTAATAAAAAATTTACTAGTTAAATATTTGCTAATTTAATAAGTTTATAATTTTAAAAAATAATTATTATCAAATTAAAACTTATTAATTTACTAAATATTTAGTTAATTTTTTTTAGATATTTTAAAATTTATAAAATAACTATAATAATTAATAGAATAATTAATTGGTAAATTGCAGTTAGGAAGTATAAATTTTATAGTAAAAATCAGCAAAAAATTACTATTACTTTTATATAATATTAAAATACTAAAAATTTCTGTCATTATATAAAAATCATATAGTTATAAAAAAGAAAATACCAATAGCTCATGATTTATCAAACCAATTTAAATAATTCTACTACTATTATAAACAAAATAACTTGTTATATAATCTTTATTAGAAACTTAAAAAAGGTTTACTTGATATAAAAAAAACATTTTATTGTAAACTAGCTGCATTTCAATCTTATAGAAAAAACTATATAAACTTTCAGTAACTATTACTATTAAATTTGCTATTTTTATATTTTTAACTGCAATTTACTTTTTAAACATATTCTAAAAAAAGATGTAATGACTTAGTAAAATAGATAAGTTGTCAATTCTCCAAGTAGTATATTGTGAGTTCAAAATCTATTAATGATAAAAATTTAAATAATTACTTATATAATATATAGACAGTATTATAATAATAGTATTCTATTAATTAGTTAGAATAAGATATCTGTAACTATAATTGCATCAGTATAACCAGCAGATTATAGAGTATCTGTATAACTAGTTACACAAAGAAATACAAACTGGTAATAAAAAATGCAAACTCAAAATAATATCTATATAACTAATTATATAGAAAAATACAAACTAGCATTAGGTAATACAAACTCTAAATAAGTTTTTATAGTTGTATAAATTAGAAAACAATAAGTTTATTTGAAAAGACTTGAATAGAGAAATAGCACAAATCTTTGATAATATTATTATAAAAACTAGATTACTAGAAACAGATACTAACGTCAAAATATCCAAATAAACAAAAACCTTTATATAAAGATATTACCAACTAGACTATTAGAATAAACTAGAAAAAAAAATATCAAAATAATCTAATATAATGATAAACTGGTTATAGTCATATATAAGCTATTTAAATTGGAAGTTTGAAGAATAAATAAGGGTATACTAAAGTACTAAAGATATATTATGAAATAAATACTTAGATTCAAATAAACTTTATAAAGACATAGTAGTTAAAAATTAACTCTAATTACAAGTATTGCTTCTACTATAGTAATATCAGATTAACTATAAAAATAAATACAAAAGGCTTTAAGAAGTTTATTTTAAAAATAAAATAGTTCTAAGATTAAAACAATAACCTAGACATAATCTAATACTATTTATACAAATTACAAACTCAAAGTTTAAAATAAAATACTCAAGCAAAGATGTTAGATATGGCAATTAGTAGAAAACTTTTAAATAAACTTCTTAAATAGGTAATATAGAAAAGTTGCATATGCAGTCTTATATAATCTTTTTGTAATAATTTATAAAATTATATTACCAAAAAAGTTATTAATAAAAGTCAAAAGATCAAAGAAATCATCTTAATATCAAAAAAAAATTTAATTTAAAAATTCAGACAAATTTGTCTAAAAAATAGTTTAAAGATAATTATATAATAATTATATATATTTATTGGAAATATTATTATAATGCTATAGTACTATAGTGCTACTCTATATGTAAATATATAATTAGTGTAATATATAAATCAAAATAATTTTTTTTTTATAAAAAATAAAATCTTTAATTAGATTTAAATTAAAATTAAGGTTAAAGGTAGACAAGGCATAGCTTATACTAAAATTTTGCAAGGAATTTTTTTTATTAATATACAAAAGATGATTTTTTAGTTAAAATTTTGAGATATATATATCACTCTTGATATAACGTAGTGCCTTGGGCACATAGTGAGGAATTTTTTAAAATCTGCTTTATCATGAGTTTTATTAGTAAATCTATTATATCAAGCAGTATTTATTATGATGTGGATTTGAATCTTGATCCACTATATCAAGATTTTACTTAGTCTCTGTTGTATTAATAGTCTGTTATATCGAGAGTAATGTATAATTAATTTTTTAAAAATTTAGTATTTTTTGTTATACAAAAGAATAATCTACATGTTATATCTAATCTTAAATTTTAATTAGTTATAATACTTTAGCACTATAGTGCCATAGCATTATAAAATAAATTTTATATATATATTTTTTTTTAAACTTAAGCAGTCATGCTAGTACTTTATTAAGATTCTTGAAATTACTTTTGCAATTACATAGATTTACCTAACAACTAAGTCTAGTATTACCTGACCACCCAAGAGGTACCTAAGTGCAACCTGCTGCACTACTTTAAGCAGAAGTAGGCCACTTGTTTGACTACTTAAAGTTCATAATAGAATGGTCTTCTCCTTTTCATGACAAGTTCCAACATTGTTCTTCTAGTTTCTTCATTGATCCTATCCTTTTTCTTTTTTGCTAGTTTTCTTTTTT